CGGCCCCCCCCCCCCCCCGCCTGTCACTCAGGGGGCAGGCCCCGCCCCCGCCCTGTCAGCGGTGAGGCGGCGGGCCCCGCTCCGCTCCCCGCCGCCCCGGGAGCCACCGCCGCCATTTAGGGCTTGGCAGGACCGGCTTCAAAAAATAAAATAAAATAAAATGAAATAAAAATCAGATGCCCGGCGCCGTACAGTCGGTGTGGGTGCCGTTCCCTCCCGCCTGGCTCCTGACCCGGCGGTCGTACTCACTCGGTGAGGCGCACAGGCGTGGAAGCTCTCTCACCGACGACGAAGCGTTAAGAGGGAGGTCTTCAGGGAAACAGCTCTTGACCTGCTGCTGCTGTGTGGGACACTCTTGGGTGAGATAATACCCACAACGCTAGGTTGGTCCTACGTTAAAGGCACCCCCCCCCCCCCCCAAAAAAAAAAAAACAAAAACAAAAACCCCCAGACGTCCAGTCCTAATTCTGCCTCTTTTCCCTAAAACCTTCCCCGGCTGCCTCACCTGCCCAGGTTCAGCTCTGTCCTAGGGCTGATGACACAAGGACACGCACAGCCCTGCGAGGCAAAGGGGAGGGCTCCTGATCCCGAAGTCTGGCATTACAATTGCTCTTGGAAGCGAGGAGGACACGGTAGTCTGTCAAATACTTTGGAAAAGCCTGTCTGCCCCCGTCTCGGGGGAGGGGGAAAGCCTGCCTCTGCTCTTCCCCCTGCCTCAAGTCTCTTCGGGCCTGGGGCTGGGGGCTGCCCGCTCCTGCTCTGCCCCCTTTCAGAGGCGCACAGATCATTTACGATCCGCAGTTCTCTCCCGAGCCGCCCCTCTGCCACCCCTTCTCCCGACGAACCGCATTTTAAATCCTCAAAAACGGTCCCCGTGGGGCGACGCTGAAAGGAAAGCACCCACGCATGCAACTTTTGCTGCTGACTCAAGCAAACGAGGGAAAAAAAAACCCAAACAAAAACCAAAAAACCTCCAAACCCCTAAACCTTCCCGCTCAAAAAGCCCACACCTGCCCCGATCCCCGCCACCGGGGCCGAGTTTTACGGCGGGGCGGAGGGAGCTCCCGTCTCCCCGGGCCGCCGAGGACCTTTGTGCTTCAGTGACAAAGGGGGGGGAGCGGGGGCTTGCCGCGGCCCTGACGGCAGGGGAGGAGCCCCCGGGCCGGGCAGGGGGCGGGCGCCCCGGGGCGGCGGAGGAAGAGGAGGAGGAGGAGGAGAAGGGCGAGATGAGGCGGGCGCTGGGCGGCCCAGCCCGGCCGGGCACGGAGAGGAGCCCGGGGATGGGGAGGCCACGGCCCCGCGGTGAGGCGCGGGGGGGTCCCTCTCTCAGGCGGGCGGACGCGGTGAGGGAGAACGCGGCCCGACCTATCAGCGGCGCCGTCCCTGGGCAGCCAATCGCCGCGCCGCGTCTTGGCGAGCGTTGCCGTGGTTACGGCGCGACGCGTTGTGCCCGCCGACCCTCGTCGCCATGCAGGGCCCCGCCGGCGGCCGGCGGCCTCCCCTGTGAGTGGCCGGGGGTACGGGGCGGGGGGGTCCCCGGCAGCGCTTTTCCCGCGGGCAGCCCACGCAAGGGCTGTCCCGGCTCGGGGCCTGCGCGGCGGCTCTCCCTCAGGCGGCTCCAGTCACGGCGGGCCGGGGTCGGGGCTAGGCCGGGAGGGGCGGGTGGGCTCCCGCCGGTGTCCCGCTCCGAGCGGGCAGCAATGCGCCACAGCGTGCCTGTGTAACCGGCCCCGCACGCAGCCACAGGCTGCGTCTTTTTGCCCTTTTATTGCCACATTAGTTCCCGCTTGTAAGCTTAGCCCCAGAAAACCAAACGCCAGTAAAACGTCTTTCAGGCTTTTATTTTACAGCAGGCATCGCCCCCCTCCCCCCCCCCGCCCCCCTCGCCCCTCCTATCACCGCTTAAGCAGCTGAACGGAGATTTTTCTGAAGGAATTATTTCAGGATTATCATCCCGAATAGTTTAAATCTTTCAAACCATTCATGAAAGTTAAGGGACAAGTAATTTGGTGATCGTATTCGGTTGCTTGTATTTTGTCAATTGAAACGGAACTTCTACGGCTGATTTCAGGGTAAGGCAAGGATCAGGAGCAAGTTCTGGTAGCCAAAGACGAACGAGCATCCTCAGTGGCATCTATGCAAATAAAGCAGCGAGCTGCAGAAGCCTGTCCACGACTTCCGATGGCAAAGCTGTGGACAGGGCATCTCTCGTGGGTAACAAGTATGCCACACGGGTGAGAAGCCGTTTACACTATTACTAAAAAGTTTCAAATGTGAGTTATTGTGGATGTTAAAAGTTGTCAGAAAGGAAGTGGGAGAGGGAGGAGGAAAGAAAAGGCATGTCTGAAGTTGAAGAGCTGTGGAGAAAGAAAATGATCCAGGAGCTTAATCCATTCTGAAATGATGATTAGTGTCCAAAAACAATCTCCAATAATAATAAAAATAATTAAAAAAAAATCAGAGTGACAGTTCTCCTCCTAATGTGAGAACTACTTGCTTTCAAATCTATGTGAGATATGTTGACTGTAGCACCTGTATGTCTTTACGTAAAAAATAGAAGATTCCCGTAATATAATCTGAGACCTTACTGAATACAATAAAATATTTTGAGCAGTATAATAAAAAAAGATGCATAATTGTTTCTCTCATTGCTTTTGCTGTACTGTTAATTTGACATGAATAGTTACAGTCAATAAGCTACTCTCGTTAGTCATTATGGAATAAATGAGCCAGAAAAGACAACGAGGTTGACCAAGAAGGAGAAGTGGCTCTGATAGTGGGAGAAACAGAGTTTTTCTAGGTATTTTGCAACCATTTCTATAAAGAGAGTCCCAAAGCAGTTCCAGGCAAAGGCGACAGCCCTCTCAAGGCTGAACTCTAAAGGGAAAGCAGGAATGCAAACCCCCTCGCCCCTGTCCTGGTGTATATTAGGCATCATTTGTAGAGAGGGGATACCTATCTGTTCTGTCAGGTTCCTGCCTGGATCGGGGTCTTCTTGTTCCAGATGGGATAAAATGTTGCAAGAGTCATCACTGTCGCTTGTTTTGGGAACCCAGTGAAACTATTATCATTATTTAAATATTTCTTCAGGTTTTTGATGATGAAGGAAAGGATGTGACACCCCGTCCACTCTTCCGTTCAGATCCGAATACTGTTGTACCCAGGCAGGGCAAGCTCTTAGCATCAAGTGCTTACTTTGGGGCCACAGGATCTGGTTTTCTCTCTTCTTTTTCCATGCATCAGACATCAGGAGTGAATGGTAGTTTAGGTTCGTTCTCGAGGTAAGCCAATATGCTGTCTCTTAAATTCTGTCTCACAGGGTACCTACCCTGCCGCAGCCACGCATCTGCTCTTCAGAGAGGTTGAGAGCTGGAATAATTGCGCAGGGCTAATAATTATACTCTGTTGTCAAAATACAGAAATATACCTGTCATAGTTGTCATTTAAAATTTGAGGAATAGTAACAAATAGACTAAACAGAATTTGTCAGTACTCATGACTGACTATGTCAGAACTACTGCTGAAATGCTAATAGATACAGGTGAAAGCAGACTACAGCACGCACTCCTGTTTCTAATTTTATTCAAATTCTTCTTAAAAAACATTTTTTTATGTAACATACCAGAATGGACCATTTTTAGAGACGGTGATGAGTACCTCGCAGTTCAAAAATGCAGACGTCCGAACTGCAGGTTTTGTAATGGTTAGGCCTGCATACAAAGTTGTGGCAGAGCCTATACGCATGTATGTGACAAAACACTCTCTTAAAGGTAGAGGAGGTTGTGCTCTGGTTGTCTGAGCAAGGCTGTACAGCTGAGAAGGGGCATCTGCAGCTCGTTAATATACTCCCTTTAGCTACTTCAGATGCTCTCTGCCTTCCCCAAGCGTGTTTTTTCAAAAAACTGGAATATATCAGTACCTGCTTAGCTGTGAGTACGGAAAAATGCTCTGGAAACAAAAGGTCTGGTTTCACTGAAGAGTTATACATTTCTTTTAAAGTATGTTGTCAGTTTTTAATGATACTTATTCAGTACAGACAACCTTTTTTAAAAACTTAACTCTTTCAGTTCAACTGTCAAAATATTGTTACCATAATAAGAATCTTCTCTTTTAAACTAACTTAAGCAAGTTAACCTCTGTATGCATATGTGCATCCATTTCCAAAAATGTTCTTCTACGAAAACGTTTGAGTTAAAACTGCTAAATTATGTGTTTCACTACTTACTAGCTTTCATTTACAAACCTTCAGTACAGAGGGAATAAACAAAGTCAATGGACTTGAGCCATTTTATCTTCAGGCTGACAAACTCAATTAAGTCACGCAAAAGAAAGTAAATAACTATTTGTGTTTAAAATGAAAAATAATGAACCACATCACTTTATCCAATGGTGTGTACACATTCAAATTGTATGGAGTGGAGATGCTATTTATTTAATCAAAAGGACTAAAAGACTGGTAAAGTCAGCACTGAAAAAAAATACAAGTTAAAGCATTATTTGTGGTTTTTTCTCAAAGTTAATGCCATTGTGATGTCTGACAAAAAGATTGTTTTGTGAGAACTGTCTTTTTGTCATGCTTCCTAGGGTGGCTATCATAAGGGATAATCCTAGAGGTAGGGATATTAACCAGGACCAAATAGACACAAAAAAATTGATATAAAAATACAAGGTATCTCCTGAAAAATAAATGCACCCTTTTTAGAGACAAGAGGTCTTCATTTAGAAAACAAAATTAAATGATTTAACTTTAGTTTTCAACACAAATCTTAAAAATGGTCTTTTTCAAATGCCTTTTGTATGTGTGTAATTGCTCACACTCAGCTTTTGAGGAGAAAAATCTCTTGACAAACCTCCCAACTGTACCTAAGTTTTGAGTTTAACTGCTAGTTATCACAGATATCACCACTATGAACACTATCTATTTTTGTTAACAAGTTAATCCTTCAGATGAGTTTCTTGTGCATTTCAAAGACATTTCAGTACATGCAAGGCACCAAAGGATCTTAATTCTGGTTGAGAACAGTGCTACCTGTGGGTATGCGTTATCACACAGTAGGTAGCCAACACTTCACGTTATAATATGCTAAGAATGAATCTGAGAGCTCAACAGCTTCTTTTCCATCAGCTATTTAATGCCTGAGGATATGCTGTCAGAGGAATTCTTCCTTTTTAAGTCTTTTTCAAACCATTTCATTATTTTCTTTCCTAAGCCTTCTGTGACTTCTTTTACAATGCAAGCATCATTGTATGTGCTCTTACAGTCTTCTGTGGTTTATCCTGATAACAACACTGCTATTTTTGTAGTGCTTTGCTAACTGACATCTGGACTCTCACATACTATTTCTGCTTATTTCTTTGTTACTGAAGGACATATGGAAGCAGCAGTACTTCTCTATCAAACGCATCAACAACTGAGTCCGTACTAGATGAAATAGTAGAACCTGGCTCTCGACAAGACACAGCTGTTAGCTTATCTGGTAAAGAACATACACTGTATAATTATAGATTTAAACTGTTCTTTGGAGCACTGTGGCTTGTGAGACACTGCAGTACGTGGATGTGAGATGCCCAGCACTTTGAAGGAACTCAGTGCCTCACAAATTTTGGCTCCCGATCATTACAATAGTTTCAGAATTAATTCATCCTCTTTTAAATTTAGAGCAGAAAAGGTCTCGCTTGTTAACCTCATATAATTTTTCAGATGTGCAGGTGAGGCAAGAGGAGATAAAAGAATGGACAAAAGAAGACTTAGGTAGGAGAGTGGATATTTACCTCACAGAGACGGAAACTATCTGGATATTGGATATGCCATCTGTTGTGGTGTCTGTAGAATCAGAAGATGCTGGAAGAGTTCTGTATGTATATTGGTAATTGTGTACATGCATGTAGTGTGCTCAGCATGCACAACTTCTGCTGACCACAAAATCCTGAACAGGCTGCTCACACATAGTAGTTTTAGTGTTCTGACTACTAAAATTTGTCATTTCACCTTTGTTTAAAGCCATATTAGGCTTGAGTCTCTCTTCTGTCAAGATAGCCCAAATTTCTTACGACTCCATCCTGTTGATCAAATTAGTACCCTCTTTCACTAATAAATTAAGGCAGATGATTAGCAAAAATGGGGGATGGCGACAAGAGAACACACAAGGGATGGGGGAAAGAAAAGATGGAGAAGTGTGGTATACATGAATTACACCATTTAATTTTAATGAAAACAGTAAGAAATTGCAAACCTCTGCATTGATTCTTGTGTGTAGCTTTACAGCTAATCGTTTCTTAATAACAAAGATACAAACTAGGCAGGCCTTGGCTTCCTCTGAAGCTCTGCACAGTGCTTCTAGCTAGAAGAAACCTCACACCACCACAAGTGACGTTGCCTGTTAAAATACTGTGTCTCCCCTTAGTTGCATCTACTGTGTTTCCACTTCAGAGTCTCCTCCCTGGACTATCATGAACTTTGGTAGGGAGTTAACCCAGAACTCATAGTTTTTTGGCTTACTCCCAGGGGCTGACTGGGACAGAGTGCAGCGAAGTTCTCTCCATGACAGATGGCAGACTTGTCACAGCTTTTGTAGATGTAAGCCCCAAAGCCTGAGATGCAGTGTACTGCAACTGGCAAGTCAAACAACTTACCTAAGGAGTTTTTTCCACTAGTATACACACAAAGTTCATGGTTAGACTCCAACCCCCACTGTCTGTGAATCACACTGGTGTGATTTTTGGGAAGAAGGAAGAGGAAGTGTATCCTATGAATCAGACTTAAGCTGGAGTACACAGCCTGTATTGCCAACTGTATAGGAACAGACCTGAGCACAGCTACTTGTTGGTGGACTAAGGCGGGGTATAATCTATGTCTGCTGTTAGAATATTGAAACCAAAATAATAGAAAAAGTTTCACAGTTCCCACTGACTATTCCTACAGAACCTAAAGGCTGGACAAAATAGAAATGTACTAGTTCTGGTTTTGTCTCTTGGATACACTGCCTTTCACTCCCAAGTGATGAGAGCTACATATTTCTGAACTCCTCTGAATTCCACCAAAGTACAAAGGTAGTTGGAGTAGGGATTTTTGCTGATGCCTACCTCTACAGGCCATTTCTGGTTTAGAACAGCATCACAAAGCCAGAAATACCTGCTGAAAGATGATACGTAGAGTGAAATAAAAACTAGCAATCAAAAAAAAAACCCAAGCAGTAAATTTATGACACGGAGTATCCTCTCCTGTTCAACTTGTGGTTAAATACACTGAGAAGTTGAATGCAAATGTTTTTCAGAAAGTCAATATACACTTTTTCTTTCTTCCCCCCCCCGAGGGAGCAGAATAGGATTTATGTTGACATTTGCAAAAATAGACCTGGTAACGATCGCTTTGTAGAAAAAATGATGCAAACCATTAACGGCGCTGCAAAGAACAAGGAAGTGCAATGTGACAAAATCATCATGGAAGATAAAGGTAAACTTTCTGAGTGCCATATAGGAAAGGGTATTTAATAAGAACGGGCTCTCATTTACTACATTGTACCCTTGGGAGTTGGGTTCATTATTACATTTAGTTTACTTATTAAATTTTTATTTGGGAAAACTCCAGCATACAGCTAGATCATGGGACCTCAGAAAACTCCCCGCGCACAGGTAGGATACTGAGGAAAGGGTTTTTTCTTTCTTCCATCTCTAAGCGGGAGAAGATGTCTCCTCAACTTTCACTTCCAGAGCTTTAAGTTCAGACAGGCTAGCATGATTTGTGGGGGCCTTTTCTGCCCCTCCTAAAACTTGAACATTGGTACTGGTACACTGTATCCATTGCAATAAAATAGTCATTACGCTAGTGGAGAGCTGCTGTGTCCTGCCTGCCTCAGCACTTTTCAAGCAGAGTGTGCTTCTTAGGAGGCAGGACTTCACCTAATAGCTAGGCTCTTGAAATGTGAAAGGACACAGTTCCCTCTTTTCCCCTTAACTTCTCAGTGACGCTAGTTTCTATTTCTATTTGCCATAATGCACAGAAGAGAACCTCTCTTACGAGATTTAAAATCTTGGGGAAAGCAGAAAAATCTTGGCAGTCTTACAAGATAGATGCAATTTTACAAAATGTTCAACCTCAATGCTCTAAAAAAAATTATAGAGGAATAACTAGGTTTTAGATGCGTGTGCTGAGCTTTGCCTCACTATGGACATTTTTTTTTGTGTAGGAGGCCAAAGAAAACTATGGGGAATGCTGTTCCAAACATTTTTCCTTTGTGTTTGTTAGTGTATGTAAAATGAATGAAAAAAAAAAAAAGTAAAATAGACATTAATCTGATCTGAAGACATACCTTGAGCATCAGCAGGGCTCATTCCAACCCAGGTTTGAAAGGCTGAGCACACAAAGGCAAGGTTATGGAGCATTGTTTCCCTGGGAGATGGCCCTGCTGAAGGGAAGCCACACACCCAGAAGACCCTGATGCAGCTGCTGCAATGACACAACAGCTGTTGCTACAGCCTTGTCTGACCCTCGGTTGGTTTCAAAGCCCCTCTGCCGAACAGTTGGGAGTGTAGTACAAAAAGTAAATCTTTGCTCAGCTATCCTTTTAATAACGTACCGAAACAAGAGACTTGTATAATACAGTGTAATTCATTTCTAGGGATGCTGGTCACTTCCTGGGACTTGTACGATTCATTTAATGTATCGGAAATAGAACCTACGTCAAAAGCAGAAGGTAGCAGAGCCACAACTGGGAAAAGCAGCAAATCTCATACAGCTAAAGAGCACAATCAGACTATGTTGGTCTCTTCCAACAGAGGTAACATTTTTCCAGATTTACATTTCTGCCATGTTTTCATCCTTCTAAACCATGTATATCACTATGCTGTGTGGTGAAAACTACGTGAAGAAAATGCTTGGTCTGCCTGTCTGCACTTGAAAGAGAGTTTGCTAAAGAATCTTGGACAGGTCTGCACTGAGACCTTTTCTGTACAATGCCGTCATAAATGATCTTAAATAAAGATAAATAGTCAGTGACAAAGTTTGCTGGTACTAAGTTACTTAGGACACTAGAAGCAGACCACCAATTGTAAAAAATTCCAGAAGTATCTCATCATACTGAGTATTTGATCAATAAAAGAAAACAAAATTAAAGCAAGAAAAAATTAATAATGTAAGTATTTTCTGATCATGATAGATTCTTCTATGCTTTTTGCAGGTGGAGGAGGAGGAGACTTCTTATCCCCTCGACTTCTATGTGCAAAGTATTATCATGTTAAAACTGTTTTTTCCCATATTATCTGTTGTCAGGCAGCACAACTTCTTCTCTAATGATTTCGGAAAGTGCTGTTCTTGCCAGAATCCATGAAGAGGAGGAATGCCATTCAGAAGCTATATTAACATCAGAAAACTTTCAGCAGAATTTGTTTTTCATGGAGAGGATTCTAATGGAGAATATTTTTCAACCCAAACTTGCAGCTTATCGGCAGTTTCCTGTCCTTATAGGTTTGTTTCTTATTGGCTGCCCTGGTTTCAGCACAAGGCTTTGCATGCTATTGAAAGTCATGGAGTTATGTCCCTCATTGAATGTCTTCACAGATGACAAGTCATTTAAGAAATAGACAAAGGAAAGGAGAGAGTTTATGAGATGTCAACATGAACTTTGCAGTTTTACGTTCACTTTAACAGACAACCCTACTATACTTGGTGGAAGAATTGAATAAATGAGTTCTGAGCTGGCTCATCTCCCCTTAACACCACAAACTGAGACTTACTCAAAATATTAGTCAAACTTGTTTACTGACAGTTAAGATACAGATTAATTCTGCTACTTCTCCAACCATTTTTTGTATTGGAAAGTCTTTTACAGTTTGGGTTTTTTTAATTTTATAAGGAGTCTGATTCTAAACAGAAGTTTTAGCCTGATAGATGGTCAGTGTCTAACATAAAGTTGCAGATTGTAAAAGGCATTACCTGGACTCAAGTGCTAAGTAATATTTTACCTTTTCTAGGAGTTTCAAGTTAACACAGGGATTTAAAAAAAAACAGGCTTCATACTGCTTTTATTGTATTGTACCTCTTTGTACCAAAGAGAGTTTCAGTTTGTCAGGCAAGAACCTGTTACATTCCATGACTACAGGAACTAGCTACAGCTGGAGCATGATACTGGCCAGGACAACTTTTGTTCTGACAACATGGCAGTTACTATGTTCTTATTTTGTTAACAGTGATCTGAGATTAATTTATGATTTGCACATTACATAAAATAAAGGGGTGAGTAAACAAAAAAATACTTCGCAAACACAGTCTAAAAATATGCTCTACACTTAATTTTCCCAAGAAATGAGCAACTTAGTACAGCATCATGTAACTTAGCTACAGTGTTACAGCATCAATGCATAAATGTGGCTCTTTAAAGTTTGGCATGTAACTTAAAAAAAATCCCTGTCTAAATAATTTTTTAAATATGAGAGATTAGAAACATTCCTGGCGGGGGGTGGACATAAATTCATAACTTGTTGCTAGGTAGCTAAATCCACTCAAACACCTGGAGCATAACTGGCACACTACAGCCTGGTCCAGCCATCTTCCATGTCCCTATCAACATTTTAGCCACAGTTTTAGAAGTTACGATGTCTTAATTCCTCAAATCTTCACTTTTTTTTTTTCTGCAAAATATTTGCTGAAAGGGCAAATTTTTCTTCTGTTGTGAATGACTGAAGTTAGATGAATGAAATGTTACTACTCGGGCTCTACCATATTTGTGCATTTTAGATCCTGATGTTACATCAGACATGAGTGGTACAGTAGCAGCAGTGAAAGAAGCTAAACAGGAAGAGCATGACAAGGAAAAGAAGGATAAGGAAGAGCAGAAGGATGCATTTGTTGACCCATCAATTCTGTCAGATCTAAATAAAACCCCAGAAGAAATTGTGCCTCCCAGACTGGAATGGCTGTGGTCATATATATGTGATTTAACTAATGGTCACAGTGTGAGCAGTATGGCTTGGAGCAAAGTAAACCCAGTGAGTTAACAAATTGCTTTTTCTTAGCTGTTTACAAAATGGTATAAGTAATTGTTGGTGTAAATAAACTCCTGATTTTGATGTCCTTTGTTGGGAGAGATCTCAGAGAAATGGATTCATCCCTACAGTCAGGTAGGTTGTCTTTGCATCCCACTCTCTGTATTTTGCCCTTTCATATAACAATATTGCTAAATTATTCTACAGGTTGGGCATCTGCACTAGGCTTTTCCTACAATTGTATCGCAACAGCTTTAATTGGTCCAGAACTTAATTTAATTCGTCCAGTTTACCATGGGCGGTCACCTGAAAAGCAATGTTAAGATAATAGACTTGGTCTGTTATAGAATTGGATGTTGAAATTTAAACCCCTACTACTAAACTTTATCACCATTGATGGAGTTTATTCATGATAGTTTAGAAACCACATCTTTGTTTCTAACAGTAATCTCCCAAGAAAGCGGCATTCATCAAACTTTAAGTATAAGATGTATAATAACAGGCACAGATTTCTGAGCAGCTGGCCCAAGTTTATTTAATTCAGTTTCAGTGGAGGTGAGAATTACTCGGACATCTCCACTTTCAGAGTAATGTAAGGCTCAGTTTTTCCAACAGAGCTCTCTTAATGCCACAACAAAAGTAATGAATGGAAGGAAGGTAAAAAGCAGGTAGGATGAGAAACATAAAACCAGTAAGATTGCCCCAAGGGAAAAAAAGAGAGAAAATAAAGACCATTTCATACTATTAGTACATCATATCCCTAGGTATTATAAAAAGTTGGACACATTTATAGACTTCAGTCTTAGAATTCTAGGGTTTGCTCCTGTTTCTTACTTCTACTTATGGAAAGGAGTGAATGGAATTCATTGGACCCCACTGTGGAGTGCTAAGAACTAGAAGTTTGAAGTGGTCACTGAAGGTCCTTTTGCAGCTTAACATTGAGAAATAAAAGTAGTAGTATTATTACATATTCCATTAAATACTGCACATTAAAATGTGGTTACAGAATAATGTGTCTTCATCTCTGGAAAGGGACATATTTTTATGGTGGCCAGGGGGATTGCAAACACAACTGATAGTGACTGTGAATGCACTTCTAGTTGAACCAGTTTCCAGTATCCTAGAAATTCTGAAATTCTTTTCTTCTTGTGTGTTATTCTACTTGCCTATGACATGAGCATTATTTTTCCAGACTTCACACTGACAGTCACTGTTAGCAGAAAGTTGCCTTTTAAAAATATACAAGTGAACTTCAAGCTAAACTGAGATACATCTGTTTGCTAATCTGTGCTTTTAGGATCTTTTAGCTGTTGGTTATGGAGCGTTTGATTGTAAAGAACAGAAGAAAGGCTTGGCTTGCTGTTGGTCATTGAAGAACCCCATGGTAATGAGCAACCAGTTTTTCTTTCTTTTTCTTCAATTCATTTTTCTGCTATACTATTTCTGCTTTATTTATTTCCCTCTTCCTGTTTCAAAAAGCAAGACCTAGGCAGTAAGGCTGAATTTGCTAGCCCAAACCACACAGTTCTGGAAAATTGATTCCAACTGCAGTACCTAGTAATGTGCTTAAATCTTGACCTAAAGAAAGTGCCTGCAGGAAGCAGTTCGGTTTCTGTGCCTGTCAGTCCTCTCAACTGACACTTCCAACAGAGGTGCTGACTGTACTGGTGGTTTGGTAACATGGACATCTGTTCACAGGAACTAAACTCATTGCACACAGGCCACCAAACAACCAACAGATGGTTACAAGTCTCAGGTAGTACCAGTCTATGCTAGGCAACGTAGCAATGCAGAACTCTGTATCCCATTTCCAACCCCTAGGGCCACCTACCCAAGACTGTAAATCTGTTTTATTATTACTGTGGGTAGACCCAGGTGTGTAGAAATTATTTTTTAGACTGGAAAAGTCTTGAGCACAGCAAATGTGAAAATAAATCCATTTACCTTTTGTTTTTCAAAATCTATAGAGCATTTGTTCAATACTTCCAAACTCTCATTACAGAGAACATCTGTATTTTAAATTTAAGGATTATCCTTTCCAATCCATTTTCTGTTGTACCACGAAATTCTCTTAGGCTGAAGCAAAAAACTTAAAAATTTATAATATAATTATCTAATCTAACTTCTCATAATACTGTCAAAAAGACAGTAGATTTCATAGATGTAACATTTACATCTTTACATATCCACCTGAAAAGCAATCCTTTTTAAACGAGCCATTTTTTAAAAAAATCTTGGAAATCTCAGTTACAAAATGACACAGTAAAAACCATCTGTTTGCCATCAGATTACACAAATTTAGTTTGATTTGTTCTACAAACTTCACTTGGCCAAAATTGTGTATTAGATTAATTTAAGTCGTGCAGAGTCACATCTTTGATGCATGTTTATCACGTCAACAACAATCAAATACTCTTGTGATTCCCCGATGTCACCATAGTCCTCAAGTCCCTAACATTAAGAAATAAGATCTGGCATGCACACTGAAATACAGTTCTTTGCAAACTAACACCCTACTGTTTCCCATTTCAAGAGCTCGGTGCAGTGACTTCTTTAAGGATTTAATCTTCTAACAGAGCTGAATCAGTTCTGTGATTACATGGAGAAATTACATGAAAATAGCAGTTTACAGATTACCTGAAGTATGTCAGATAATGTTTTACCTTCAGCTAAGTTTCTGTAATTGGAAAGGAACTTACTTTCATATTACAAGATAGAAAACAACTGGAGAAATTTTCCAAAATGCCAAGTTTGTTTTAAAAAGAAAAAAAAACAAATCAAACAAACAAAAACCTCACGCTGTACTCAGCTGAACCCTAGGGAACTTGATTTTTAGGTATTTGGCTTGGAGTAGGCCCATCTAACTTATTTTACAGTGTCATATTTCTGCATAGCCTTTATTTTTTCCTAATTTTATCAGTTGCAGCAAGAAGTAAACTGAATCATTTAGAATATAGTACCTAATTTCTGTCTAGAAGTAGTCCCTATGGTCATCAGCACTTGAATTTTCCAGCAGAGCTTGGCAATTCAGTATCCAGTGTTGAGAAGACCGAGGCAAATTAAGCAACTAACTTAAAATGTTCTTGTATTTTTCTACTGGTCAGTGGCCAGAGCGTATTTTCCGGTGTGAGCATGGTGTTACTGCTTTGGATTTTTCTATGGCAAGCCCAAATCTTTTAGCGGTTGGAATGTATGATGGGTCTGTCACAATCTGTAACGTACGGAGTTGTAACGACACTGCACTTTTGGACAGCAGGTAAGGCTATGATTTCCCATTTCCTCCCACCTTGGTCACATCTTAGCAGATAACAAAGAAAAGAATATCCACAACTGAGAAGCTGAAGAATAGTAACAGTCTAAGATAAGTAAGGTTTGTCAATGCTTAGGGATGTTGCACAATATTTCATTTCCAACTTCCATCAGTATTTTCCAGTTTTGACTGGAAATGCCTACATAAACAATACTCTCAAATACTAGAAGTTGCTGGAGCAAAACTGCAGATGCAAAAATTTATGATAGTGCATAAATGCCTGGAAGGGCCGGAGTGGGCCAAACAGACTTTTCCCATTCCACTTATTTACACCAATACAGCCAAATCCTCAGACACTGCCATTCTCTCTCTGCACTGCCATCATCCTCTATTGTTATTTCTGACAATAAATGCTTACATTACTTTAAGACCACTGGTCCTTATTTGGGGTATGAAACTCTCTGCGCTGTTGCTGTGCATACAAAGTGAGTTCTGCACGTTGGAAAGGTGAAACAAATGAGTATTATGCTCTGACTTTTTAAGAAAATTAAGCAAGTTATCACCACGTACCATTTTATACTCCATGTACTAACTAACTAGGACAATCCTGCCCTGGATAATAAATCCTTATGGGAGACCAGTGGTAGCTTTTGGTGTTTTCTCACTGATTCCACTTGCCAAAAATGGAGAGAACATCAGAATAGGTGAGGGATAAGCAGAAATTAAGAAGAAAATGAGGGGTGGGGCGGGTGATCAGGGAGACATTTGCCCTAAGGGTGGCTCCATAAACAGTGCCCTGAAACTAAGTATCAAACATTTTCCCCAGGGAAAACAGCCAATATTCAATATTTTTTTTTAAAGAAAAGCTAAACCACATTTCTGTCATAAGACTTGGTGTTCATTACAAAGGGGAAGGTTAATTTTTCAAATATATTGTCTTGTCTTTGTTCATGTATGATTTATTATGTGCATCTTTTATCCCAGTGAATCCTCAAATAAACATACAGGTCCTGTATGGCAAATGAGGTGGGTGGAACAGGACAGAGGAGCAACAGGAGATGGCAAAAAAGAGAGATTAATCTGTATCTCAGCAGATGGCCGAATAACAGAGTGGTTTATACAGAAAAGACTAGATTGCATTGGTAAGCATTTTTCCCTGCAGCTTTTCTGCAGAGGTATAATACCTGAGATTGCAATGGCTTCATTTTATTTCGGGTGACATTCTTTATACTAGGTATCATACACAAAACATTTAAGAGCTGTTGAGCAGTCCAAAGAAGCATGAGTTATTCATAGCGCTGTCACATACTTGTTTGACAAAAACTCTTGCTATTTGCACAGATCTGATGAAAATAAAGCGAACAGAAAGTGAGAAGAAAAAATTACCAGGTGAGAAAGAAAGGAAAAGGGAAGCTCTGATATCTCAACAGGCAGCTGGAATGTGCTTTGACTTCCATCCAAAGGTAGGCTCAGAAAGTCCATCCTGGCTAAAGTATTATCCAACAATACTATGCAGCAGGGGTGAGATGCTCAGCTGGAGCTACTTTAATATGCACTAGCCTAGGACTTGCACTGGTATTTAAAGCATATTTAGTTCTGAAAGAAAACTGCTTCTTAGCTAATAACAGTTTTACTGAAAATGAATGATATGGTAAACCAGTCAAGTAATCCCTGTATGTGAACAACTCTATGATTTCAGCCAAATTACTCACATTTGCTTTGGGCCAGATCCTACAGTAGATTTCCTCTGTGTGTTGGTCAAATCAGTGACAATTTGACTGTTCAGCATCTACCAAGTCTAGGACTTAGATGGCTGTGCTTCTCCTCTTTATCCAGCTGAATATTTTGTCCAGAGAGCATTTAAAGAATTCATACATTTGCCCATGTGGATCACAGAAAGTCCAAGATTTTCAGGAGTCAAAAATCACAGCATATATTCTGCATAAATGGAGAACACACATACATTCTGGCACCACTATATCTACTGCACATACACCGCTGCAGCTGACATGCAAGCAGGCCACCACACCACATCCTGGCAACTCCACCTTAGTTCTTCAGAGGACTGTCACTGCCAAACTCATATGGTCCTTTATAGATTTCTGGATGAATGATAAATAGGTTAATCCAGCATAGGCTACTTTTACCTTTCTTTTAGGATACTAATTTTTATCTTGCTGGAACAGAAGAGGGTCATATCCACAAGTGTTCTTGTTCATGCAATGAGCAGTTTCTAGAGACATACAGAGGCCATAAGGTGAGTGATACATAAAAAAAGTAATGACAGCAGAAACTGCTCAATTAAGTTCACAAATGTAATAGTTTCTTTGCTTATATTTACTAAACAAAACATCTGTAACAAAAGAAGCCTAAATTTCTTTTCTCATATTAGGAATGAATTCCCATAGCATAAAGCATCATAGCCTTACAGGATTACTTTCTATGCTATAAGGATTTATTTTTTTTAAGTAATTTATTAAAACTTGTACTATAAACTGTTTTAAAGCTTTAGTTCTGGCTTTAGTAATCTGATTGTCCTGCTAACCACAGTTAAATAGTCTTACCTCTGAGAGAAAGATGGCAGAACTTTAACAACACTTCTTTTTTTGAAAGTTTCTGCTTCATCCAAGAAGCTGCCTTTTCAGCATCAGCTTCTCCTAACAACTGGTGAAGGGGCAGAATCAGCTGAATGCTTTTTATTCCTAAGATCTCTCCTGTCTTATCACATCTGCTGCATCCTAATTTCCTATGGGTACACATAACACAATGCTGGTTTTGCTATTAGGGTCAGAGGACAGTCAGGGATTTCCATGAAAGGTCACTATTAAAAACCATCCTGTGAGGCTATAGCTCTAGAATAACACAAAGTTCTTTTTTGTTTCTTCCCAAACACCAAGGGTCCTGTGTACAAAGTCGCTTGGAATCCGTTCAGCACTGACATGTTCCTAAGCTGCTCTGCAGACTGGAGCATTATTTTATGGCACCAGGATTCACAGACGCCCATTCTAACTTTCAGTTCCGCCACTGCTTTTGTTCATGATGTTATGTGGTCTCCAAAATCAGCCTGCATATTTGCAGCAGTGAATGAAAGCAGAGTAGAAATTTGGGATCTTAGTGCCAGCATGTAAGTAATTACTTTTCTCAAAGAAGATTCTGAAACTAGGGGCACAAAGGCTACACATTAATCCCTAATCAATATTGTTACGAGATCATGACAGCTCCATGCTGTTTGCTTGCTTAGTTATTGAAAGTACTGCAATTTGAAATACTCATTTTGTAAAAGTAGATGGTAATTACCAGAGAATTGTGATTATAAGAGAAGGAGCTGGATGCCTCATGGAACTGCTAAAGGGTAAATCTGCTTTTTTTCTTCCAGAAATCTCAAATTCTACCACTGCCATAGTTAAAAGGAAAAATAACAAAACTGAGCTACTTTGGACCTTTTATAAAGATAAGATGGTCAGAAGTTCAGATACCTCTTATGTTTTCCCACTACTGTAAAGTAGGTGTACAACTCATGTGCAGCTTAGTTAATCTGTGGCCTTGTAGTGCCGGTCTGTACTACTTAGTATTAATGACAGCATGAAGCCTGTAGTGGAGTAGGAGGCCCACCAAATCTTGCAGTAGCAAAAAGCAAATTATTCATATAATAAAAATATTAACCCCCACCCCCCATATTAGGCAACAGGACAGATTTTAGGCAACCAGGATATCTTTGTTAATAGCAGCAGGGATTTTTGTTCTGGTGAAGACGAAACAAAACACTGCCTCACTTCTTAGTTTTTGAGTTAATCTAGAACATGAAAAGTAAAACATGCAACATTTATCTGGCCTGCATTACTGGTAGACTTTACATGATAGTCCACTCAGGCAAATGCGATGTTACCTATTAATTCTTGCCTCTGCTGGGTTGCAGCTTGAACCCCGTGACCTCATGCTTTGCCAACCCAAGAGTGAAATTCACATCTGTACTCTTTGCTGAGAACACTGACTGCCTTCTCGTAGGAGACAGCAAAGGAGAAGTCAGTGTGTTTGAGCTGCAGAACCTGGCTGCTCCCAACAATAATAAGGTACGGTTCACTAGGACAAGGTGGTGGTCCTCAGAGGCCTGCATGCTTGTCTGGTACTTCATTCCTCCGAAAGGGGCTTCTGTTAAAGATCTAGCTAACAGATATTGAAATAGGTGGAATCAGATACAATTCCATAAGCAGATTAAAACCTGAGGCGGTTCCTGCTCTTCTGCGTGCCATACCACTAGAAACTTCAGGAACAGGTAAATCAAAGTTGAACTTCAGGTTTCACTTGATCGCAAATCCGGAGGTTCGCCACAGCTGGATTTGGGAGGGACACTCGGGGCAAGGGCAGGAAGGTGGAGCTGCCTCTAAATGCAGTCTGCAGGTGACTGTATTTGGCAGAATGCCCTTACCTGCTGACAACACAGGAACGACGTGCCCTCTCCTGGCCACCCACAAGATAGTCTCACTTCATTGGTGTCAGCAAACCCATTAGCCCTTGGGCTCTGTATTGCCTTCACTCTTTTAGAAGCTACTGCTTATCCTCGTGAGGGCTTTTCTGTCCTAGATGACATGTGAGAATTTGACTTGCCTTACAACTAGGTTCCTTTCCAATTGTACCATTGCATAGATTCTGTGGCAACGGCAGTGTAAAAGCTGACTGATGTAAATTGTGAATCCTTTCTGTTCACTTTTGCATAAAGCAGTGCTATTTTATACCAAAGGCCCACAGGGCCCTCCTTGCCTGGTCCATGGTACAAAATTCTGATGCCACCCTGGGTACTCCAGCACTGGGTGGATCCCTCCTGCAGGATCTGTCTGCAGGTGGCCTGCAGCCCCAAACTGCACTGCTCCCTTTGTCCTTTCAGTTTTGAGCAAGGAGCTTTGGCTTGCTAGAGTTGGGTTCCCCATTTGTAAAGTGGGACTGGTACTTTTTAAAATCCTTTTGAGTTAGTTATATGGTGCAAAACACTAAACTTAAGTTGGAGAGAATGAAAATGCTGATGTTAATCTAACCTTCATTCTTAGGGTTTTAAGCATTAATAATTCACAATTGTCAGCATTGCATTTAGAAATTCTAGTAATTACCAGCCTCATTTGCCAAGTGCTGTAAACTGCAGAGCAAAAAGATGTTTCCCTTAAAAACTAAAAGTGAGGCCATTGTTGTTAAACTTCTAGAAAAAAAAAAAATCTGTGAGGTTTTCTTCTGTAAATCACCATGAAGCAGCCCAAGTCGTCTGAGCAGAGGAGTTCTTCAGTTAATAAGAGTACAGGGATAATTTTCTGGGTATGTTACCAGAACAGGACTAAAAATATCAGTGCTTAATTTCACAGACTTTGGGCATGTGGCATAACTGGTCACTGAGTCACAGAGCCTCATTATCCAGCAGGAGCCTTGCTTTCCAGCATCATCCATTTCTTTCATTCCCTTTTCTGCTAACAGCAAGGTCTTCCTAGGCTTAGGTATGTACAAGGCTTAGCACGACAGGGTCTGTACTACAACTAACGCTAAAGGGAGATAGTTATTTCAGGGCAATCACATCTAAGTACAGCTACCATACATGTATCATCTTGAAAATTAATTTCCTTTTTAAACAAGATGTATGCTTGCCTGCTGCCAAGTGTGATAGCTACAAATGCAATCCAAACAGGCCTGCCAAAAAGTGCTGTTTTCAAGGAGCACTGTTAGAGGTAAGCATAGTATTAACAGAATGCCAAAGAACAATCAGCTGACATAATACAAACTACCTTAGCCTGCTTTCTGGATGCTCGTTGCACAAGCAATTCTGTTCTCAGTTTGTAAATAGGAATTTTGGATCACTGCATGTCTTATACTGCAATTACGCTGTCATACAGCTCTTTTTTTTCCTCTTATTTTACAGGTTGGTACCTTACATGACATAATTGGTCCTGCTGTAGCTATTTAACAGCAGCTAACTGATGCACCTTCTCAGTTGGTAAACAGCAAGAAAGACTTATTGTAGTATTAACATTGACTGTTTATTCTTCTTCAATCATTAAAATTTCTCTTTGAAACCATACTGGTTAGAAACGTCTTTCAAATGCTCTAAATTTTCCTCTGGAAGTCCCCCTCATTAGACAAACAGTATTAATACATTGATGGCCTTCCCTATAATACAGATAAGGTAATAGAAAGGTCTCTGTAGTCTTTTCTCCTTGGGCTTTTTCTCCTTGTTTTTTTCTTCCAAGGTCTTTTCTCCTTCAGTTACTCAAAAAGCAAAAATGCTAAAATCACCTCCTGTATAGGCCACTCCATAATACAGCCAAAGTCCTTACCCAATGTAGTCTGTATCTTCCCTGTGAAATCAGACAGTAAATGAATGGACTTTTCATCAGATCCGTCTTGTCCATAAACCACCACTGAGGGTTAAAGCTGAGCTTTGAGTGGCATCAGGTGCTCCTGCGAGCTGCAGATCATCCCACACCAGGCAAAAGTAGAGACCCACTTTTTCAACTCCCAACAAATTAGGGTAATGTAAAATTGCAGTTTAAATTCACTCTGTTCCACACCGACTCTTTTCTGAAAGCTCCTCACACGAGATAACAGTGTGGTCCTAGAGCAAGGACTGACTTTTGTGGCTCTAGAGGCCAGATCGGTGTTTTTTGAGATCTCGTCACCTCCCCTAGCCCACCCCCAGCAGCTGGAGAGCCAAAAGCTGGTGGGAACACTTGCTCAGGCCTGCACTGCTGGTTGAAAGCAGGCAGCATTTGGCCATCTAGGCTGTCTTTTTTGGGGGCAGATCAGAAGAAACAGAAAAAAGCACCCAGCAAGCCACCAGCTGGACTGAGGTGCCTTAGAGGGTTTTCAGAGACTGACTACTGACCGAAAATACAGAGCATTTCTACAGATGAGTAACTAAGACCAAGATCCCGGCTATAGCCCTGTTGCCTGATCAGTGCAGCAGGGATCACCCCATCACGGGAGCTAGGTGATACAAAAGCTTGGCTGTAAAGCGCTCTGCCTGCCAGCTGACGGAGGCAATAGGTGCCTCCTCTTGAAAGCATTATGTAGCGAGACACGCAGTTTATAGATACAGAACGTTCAGACTCTCTCATTAGCCTGACAATAAACGTCCAGCATTTAAACACATCACTGAAGTTAAAGATCATTTGTGATGCATTAACATTCACTTCCTTCTGTGTTCTGCACATTTTACAGTGAACATGCAAGCTTACCCTTGACATAAAATTAATCTTTGTGCATTTCAAAGAAAGACACCCATTAAGGTGAATCATGTGTTAATCATTATTACAGATCTGAACAAAATACACCATATATTTTCCATCAGCAGTCATGACTGTTTACTTACCGATGCTACTGGTAAAAAACGAGCTTTCCGTCAAGGCTGTAACACATCATAATTCACCCTGCGCATCGTGTGAACTAATTAACTGTAACATTATGGTCCTGGAAAACACTTGTGGTGCTAGGAAGTGCTGAAGATCTCCAACGTTCCTCATGTATTTTGTTCTTAAACATGGAATTTCTGACCTCATAATTGCCAAATTTTCTCCTTAAGGCATTTTATTGCAAGAATTTTTTATAGAAGCTCACAGCAACTGCAACCAACAACATCCAAAGCAACAGGGAGGGACCACTCTCATAACTGGTCTACTAACCTCTGGTCCCAGAGCACAGTAACACTGCTTCACGCTGCTTTAGTGAACCCACTTCTGTCTTTCAGATATTACCAAAAGGAAAAGGATGGCCAGGACGCTGATCTGTAGCTATTCTGTGCTTTGTTTAGAGCCATCTCCCTCTCTTTTCTATGCCTTTGCGGACAAGGGCCACATCCACGGGCCTCGCTGCAGAGACACGCGAGCTGTGCAGCTGCAGTGGAGCTACGACCTATGCACACAAGCTGTCCAAACCTGACATTGCTCCGTGTGGTTTGTTGCAGAAAGTTCGCTGTGCTTAAATGCTCCGCGTGCCGCAGGATCACTTCCTATCTCTTAGGATGCTAGGAATCATAGTAAGGCGTTTGCAGGTTCCTCTGAAGCATCCTCAGTTGCCAGCTTGACAAGGGGATGCTTGGCAAGAGAACAAGGCAGGGGTAACAAAGAGGTACACAACCACGGACATCACTGGAAGAAGTTAACTACCTTTTAGTTTGGGATCACTAACAGAAAAAGACCCCCAAGTTGCTTAAACTGTGATGATGGGCACAACTGGGCAACAGGCTGCGGTAGCACAGCTGTATGGGAAACACAGAGACAAAATGCATTATCTACAAATCATGTGACAAATACTCTTTCATTTTTGCGGAATGTACACATTAACAGTATTGATCTAAGCCCGTACCCTATAAACATGTTACACCACACATGTTCCTATAGTAAAGCAGCTACGTAGTCTTAAGTCGTCTTTAACACCTGACTGAAATCCCAGCACAAATCCCAAAGCACTTAAAACATGACCGGAAACAAGCGATTAACTTGTTTTTAGCAAACATTAAGTCATCCTCAGAACGAGCCGTTACTCAGTGGAGCGGACGGGCCGTCAGTATAAAGGTGAGGATTTCAGCACAACTCCCCACCTCGGCCTCGCAGATCCCCACTGCCCCGCCAACACCCTGCCTCGGCGCACAGCATCAGCAGAATGAGGGGCACGGCGCTGGCGCTGGCCTTGCTCGCTCTCCTGGTTGCGGTATGCGAAGGGAGAGGTGAAGGAAACACTGTGAAGCTCTGCGGGAGAGACTTTGTCAGAGCCATCATCTTCACCTGTGGCGGCTCTCGGTGGAAAAGGCATTTAACTGATTATCACTACCTGTTTGGTAAGTGCTAATTAATGCATTAGAGGCTTATCACCCCCTGCAAGGTGCACTTAGCTCCGAGGGGATTGGGAAGAACCGAATCACCTGCAGGCTGTACCTAAGGGCAGAGCTGTGCCCTCTGCTCCTCGGGCTCCCTGAACAGCTGCCTCTCACGCAGGAACAGCATGGGCTTTGCTTTGAGACAGCAAGCGAGGTAGTGCAACTTCACCTTTTTTGTTTCCTTGCAGTTTGCTTGGCTTAGCTTAGTGTGCTGTTTTGCTAAATAAAAAACATTTAGATCAAGATTTTCCAAGTCAACCAGAGGAACCACGAGTTAAGCCCAAGGCTATCACTGAAAATCTCGATGACATGACATTTCAAATGTCAGAGACAAGCTTTGCTGCAGCCAATGCAAGTTTTTTACCGTTGTCTTCAGTAGGACACACCGCTTTCCCCACTAAAAACCAGAAACTTTATTACAACTTAAGAATATTATAATTAAAGTGTGTTGAATATCTGCTCTGCAATTTAAGTATCTTCACATGGTGTTGTATGTATTTATTAGCACATTTTTAGACAGAGTCGGAAAATTACATGCACTGCTAGAAATTTGTACTCCGATAGGCTAAAATAACTAGAAAAAAGAAATTAGGCAGACGACAGGAACAGAGGCTTTCCACACTCTCCATGCAGTAACATCTGCCTTTTTTGAAAATTCAATTGTAGCAACAGCTTTAAACAAACATAAAGAGCGATGCCACCTGCAGCACCCTCCCTCCCCCGAGAGTCTGTTGAAGGAGAAGAAACCCCCACTGCTAAATGAAGCAAGAGAACTACTGTACCTTTATAAACTCCACATGGCAGTGCCTGATGGTACTGTGGTATTTAAAATGCACATGAATCGCAAGCGTAATTTAAGTGGGAACATCCAGGAACTTTGAAATTGTGGGGTATCTGATGCCTTCACATACTATCTGCATTTCAGGAAACCCACAAGCAGTTCCAGGTTAACACGCTGGTCAAGTGCCGCTGACACATCAAATCACGGTTTTACCCTTCGAAGCAAAGGTATCATTGTAAGACTGATAAGGCAATGATTCCTACAAAGAACACTCTTCAATATAAACCCATAAATTACTGGGTTTTTAACATGTTAATCGCAAAATGTGTACCTCGCGTATCTATTTTAATACTGCCCTGGCGACAAGTCAGTGATCTGGTACCTCTTGGTTGTTCACATCAGAAACACGGAAGAGAATACTTTCAGCTCCCTGGCTGTAGGCTGGTCTGTCTTTCTGGTAAAGATAAGTATTATAACTACTCATGATTCCATGACTTCTCATTTTTAGCTTCTGATTTTTATGCGACAGAGAGTGAAAATCCCCTGCCCTTCTCACAAGAGAACAGCGGTTATGCCGACTCCTCCACATACACAGACCAGAGGCTGGAGACTGATGGCGAAGAAATCCACAACGTCAAGCCTGAGACGGAGCAAGATTTGCAAGGCACCAGGAAAATGTCTCTGCTAAAAAAGCGCGAAGCAGCCAAGTTGCTTACCACATCCTGCTGCAGCATCGGCTGCAGTGAGAGAGATATCAGTTCCCTGTGCTAAAATGCAGCAGGTGCTGACAAGGTTCAATGTCACAGCTTTCATGTATTAAAATAATCATGACATAAACCACAATTATTTCAGTTGTATTCTTTAATTGTAGCTTTATTCTGTGGACTACACTAGGGAGTAAATGTTGTAGTGTAAACCAGCAAACGGCTGCAACGACAGTTCAGGTTGGGTTGTCTGGATTCCACAAAGCGCTTACAGGGGTTTAAACTTTTAGTCACGAGTACAAGTATTTCTTCCCATCTAGCTACTGTTCTAGTTTCAGCTTTGCACATAAAATGTCATAAAATAAGCAATTTATTATACGCTTCTCTTACAAAGATCCAACAGCAGGTTTCAGCTGTGAAATATGGGTCGCAAAAAGTCTATCTGCAGAATCAGAATCAAACCAACGCGGTGCGGACAGCTCTGTGCAGCGCACCATGCCGCGTGAGGCCCCCGAGTCAGACCCCCACCGCAGCAGGGGAATGGCTGAAGCAGGGCAGACTTGGGATCAGTCAGCACTAGCCCCTAAACTGGGCAGGCAAAAGCCATGCTTTATTTCCTATTCCAGCTGCTTCCAGTAACATCTACCTAGTGGACAGTTAATTTGCACCCAGGGAGATTGGAAATACACTTCTGAGCTCAGAGGGCTGAACCTCCCCTCTTATCTATAGACAAGTATCAGCTGAGCACCCCACTTCAACCTTTTTTTGCTAGATTCAAGCACCTTTAACAGAAGGTCCTAGACATGTTAGATCTACATACTCTGAACATGATATAATTTGAAGACATTTTTCACTTGATTTCAAGCACTATAGAACTGAGCTAGTCTTCTCCAAGGAGAACCTTCTCCTGGCCACCTTCTCTGCACTCAGGGCTTTTCTCGGGGCTCAGGGGCAGCCAGGCCAGCCCTCAGTGAGCAAAGCTCCTGACTCTCTCAGTCTCTGCTGCCCTCCCACCACAGAGCCCACCCAGGGCATCCCTGGGCCCAGCAGGAAGGTTTGGAGGGATCCCTCCATCCCCCCAGCAGGGCAGGGTAACTTGCAGCATGGAGCTACTGCAGCTCGACAGGAGACAGCATCTGCAATACAGCGTGTGCATGGGGCTAGGGCCATGGGGCCGGGCACGCACTCAGCTGCCCAAAAATGCCATTTAATGGGGATAGTTTTAAAATGCTTTTGTTTTACTTTCCAAAAAATCCCTTGGTGGTTTCTACTTGGGGTCACATAGTGAGGGCAAATTCAGGGAGAAGAAAGTATTACAGGGATACTCAGTTCTGAAAGCATCTACAATCAGGAGCAAAACAGCACATATCACAGAGAATCACTTCCCAGAGAACGCTCCGGGAAATACAATTATTACATTCACTGCCGAAAGGCTTACGGTAACCACATTTCAAAACAGGTGAAAGTTGCCTTGGTCCTTCACAAGCATTTTCAACAGCAGAAACAGGAAGAGTTAGGCTGAATGTTCATTTCTCCTGCTGTTAAATTCAGCTACCTCCTTATTCAAAATAGACAGCATAGACATTTGCAAGAGCAAACAGTGAAGCGTTCTTGAACACATATGACGAAAACGTATCGCTCGCAGGATCCCACAGGCACCTGCTTCCGATTTGCATGCTCTGCTCATTCAGCTGCCCAATATGCATCACCACAACAATCTTGTACCTTGGTATCATAAGGTCTTTTACCCGAGCTTTAATAATCTGCAAGAGAAAAACACATTTAGACACAACTGGTGAGTTCTCTCTAAAGGGGATGCTCAGCGATTTGGTTTTCCGCAACAGGTGCAAGCATTGCAACAATCCTGATGACAGTCTTTGAACTGCAGCATTTGAAACATCTACTGCAAACTCCCCCATCCCCACAAACAGGTGGCATGTATGCTACTGCAGTCATTTCACAAGAGAACCAACACTTCTATCTGCTAAAACCAGGCACATCTTCCTGCTGGGCTACTGAAATGCAAGCACAGATGTTAAGTAAGGAGTTACTGTACGTGAACATCACATTCTCCTCCATACCTGTTTATAGTTACCTGCTGACTACAGGGGGGAAAGGAAGCGCAGGTAGTACTGTTTTTTTTAATGCCAGTGAGCTCTTCTGGGCCAAATACTCAGGACAGTCTTTTCTCAGCAGCAAGACTGGATTTAACCGACAAGGAGCTTGCACAAAAGTGTCACTGCGCAGAATTCAGCCGCTACTATCACTGGCCTATTTTGGAAAGGTCTGATATATCCTTAAAACTTATTAATGGCATTTCTGGACAGGACAACCACAGCATGGGAGTTTTACTGAACTGTGTGCTTGGCCAGAGCCAGTGCTGCTCGTACAAACCTCATCAATATAAGCCTGCACCCTCGGTGCATCCTGACAGTCTCCTCCAGCATTTGTTTTACACTTTATATTTGTGTTTAGGGGCCTCCCCGCCCCGACAGCCACCTCCCTGACACCCCGTCGAGGGGCGCGGACAAAATGGCCGCCTCACGGTCACGGCTGGCGCGCAGCCGTACCTCAGCGATGTCCCTCGCCACGTCCCTGCACCGGGCCGGCTCGTAGGGCTGCTCCCTCAGGTAGCTCCCCAGCACATCCTTCAGGATATCATCCACCGCCGCCACCGGGAAGCGCCTGGAAGGACCTGAGGGGACAGGCGGTGAAATTCAAACTCGGGTTTCTGAGGGAAAACCCACCGCGCTGGAAGGCGCATCGGAGGTCTCCTCGTCCCGGCCCTGGGACCTACCCGAAGGAGGGTCTCTGCCGGCCGTGCCGCCATGCATCCCGGCACCGCTGCTGAAGGGAAGCGGGAGGACGGCGGCTCAACGCCGCCCCGCGGCCGCCGGGAGCCGGGAACCCGGCTCCCGGCGGCCGCGGGGCGGCGTTGAGCCGCCGTCCTCCTGCCTCCGCGCCTTCCCGCCCAGCTCCCCCCCCCTCACCGCCGCGCCTCCATGTCCCCACAGCCTCAGTGGATCCTCTTGTGTCCCGCAGCTCCCCCCCCCGCCAAGCCTGTGTGGATCTCTGCGTGTCCCTACAGCCCCCACAGCCTCCGTGGGTCCCTGCGTGCTCCTACAACAGACACCCGTGTGCGTCCCTACGGCCTCCACGGCTCCCCAACACGTCCCTACAGCCCTGACATGGCTTCCATGGGTTCCCCTCAAGCCCCCACAGCCGCGGTCCCTCACGTCCCCGCAGCCCCCATGTGTCCCCTCAAGCTCTGCTCGTCCCCAGAGTCCTTGTGGACCCCCCACACGCCGACCCCGACCCATCCCCAAGCCGGGAAGCTGCGCGTTAGCTCCAGCAGCAGCCATGTTTTGGGCCAAGGACATGGCAGCCCCCGATACCTCTGCCGGCCTGCTCAGGGTGCTCCCGCGCGCGCAAGCGAAGCTCACTCGGAGAAAGCAGCGTTTTTACAGGTTTTTGTTTATTTTCAAGGGTGGGGAAAAAAAAATCACATTTAAATTGCAACTCAATCGGGTATTTAATGTGGTTCTTATGTATAGAATTAATAAACTTTGTTCTGACGTGGGGATTTATTTGTTGCAACGTTATGCATGGTAAATAATTGCATATTCAAGATTTTGTGAAATGGGTGACGGGGAGAATGGAGGAGAGACATTTATAAAAAACATTATTTACAAAAAATGATATCCACATAGTCGTATTCTAATCTATAAGGCAAGTAACATTTAAAATATGTTGTTTCATGATTATCTTCAACAAGTCAATACAACACATTCATATTACCAGTGGTCAAATACAAAGCTTTGCTGCAATAGTCTGTGTGCAACAAACCTGTATGTCTTTTACAGTTTTTTTTCTCTGAGAACAGTAGGTAAGCAGCAAAGTTTTCATCACAGACTAAGCAGTACCTAGGCCATCGTAGACTAAAGGTATAATATATCTCATTGCACGTTTAGGCAAAAAAGGCCAGCCATTAATTAACTTATTTAACTTAAATCTTAAAAATAGACCTGTGTATCTTAATCCACAAATATTTATAAACATTTTATACACGAGGGAGTTCATAAAATGATACAGGGTGATACCCCGGGGAAATCCAATTCACTTCTGGGGCTTCCTCTGGGTTCAGAGGTGTCATGGCGAGTTTGTCCTGCACCCTGTGCCCTCCACCCACCAGCCCGTGGCCACAGGACCGGAGCTTCGAACCGCAACCTGACTCGATTCCTCTCTCAGACCACGACTAACGCTTCCGTACGGTTTATGCCGTCAAAGCAACCGGGTGATCTCATCAACCTTGGAGCGTTTTGGAGCGGAAAACCCCTCCGGTGTGGATTACGAATCCGACAGCAGGATGGCATGTCCGCGGCGATTCGCCCTCTGTCCAGAAAGGGAGAGATTTCGAACGGAGGAATAAGATATTCTGAACACCTCGCTAAAACCTGGCATGTTTTGTCACATACTGCTTGGCCTGTAGTGAAGTCCTGCTTATGCGCAAACCTTTGAAGAGCATCGCCACCCTAACGCTTGTGATTTTAGGAACAATTGTCGGCAGCATTATCTGCAGGCCATCCTAAAGTGATAGCGGAGGTCACGCAGGAGGTAGGGGGTATTTCTGCAGATCTTTTTTCTAGCCTTGTAGTGAAATGAGAATTAAAATACTGATGATCATAAAATCTCCCTGGCTCTGCAAGAATTACTTTCCTTGGGAAATCGTAACAAACGGAAGAAAAGAATAATTCTGGCTATGAAATGAATTCTTTGAGACAGTAATTCCTTACCGGGAGAGTACAATGTGATGATGTTACGTATTTTGGTCACGGTAAGCTTCAAAATTAAGTTTTTTAACCAAGACATTTTCATATAAAAACAACAAAGGGTAAGGAAAAAAGTACTCCATATTCAGTGTATTGAAGTGGCTTTCTCAGGTAGGTGTTGGGTGTTTGGGTAACAGACCTGTGGGCTGTATTTCCAAAAAAAACAGATAAAATGGAGCAGGATTCCTCTGTGATGCAGAACTGCACCAGGTGCCCGGTGGGCACAGGAACCGCACCACTGCCAAGGGAGACGTGGAACTGAAGGAGAGGTCCGAGAAGGGCTGAATATTTTTAGTAAAAGATATTTGACTCTCTCTTAGGTTGTTTAAAAATATGACACCTTTTCATTGCAGTTCAGCCCTTTAAAAATGCTTCTGCTGCAAGAAAGTGAAGTGGAGACTCTTTACGTGATGCTCGTGCTGCAGGAATCTCTGCAGCTGCGGTTTGACAGAGCGCCGTTGCCGGCTGCTTGGAATCATCCAGCATTAGGTAAACGAAGACAAGTATGACTTGTGGTGGTATGGGCAGCATGGCAAGGTCTTGGCAGGGACCTTGGTGGGAAAATAATCACCCGTGCGAGAGCTGACCAATTTTTATGACTGGCCACTAAACAACTACCCTGGGTCTCTGTGATCACGTTAAAAGGAGAAGGCAGACGGCTCTCACCTGCAGGTGTGTGTGGCTTCAAAATGATAAGTTTAAGCAGCATCTTTCTCTGGTGTTTCCCATACAGCCCAAACCCTGGGCACTGCCGAGAGAGGTACCCCAGCAGCATCCCGCAGCAAGGGTATGATGGTGCCTGCAGCCTGCCTGGAAAACTGCCTTCCCTCCTCATCCCCTCCCTGCCTGGCCAAAACAGGATGTCACTTTAACATAAACTTCTTTTTTTTCCCCACCTATGTTTTAAAAAACCTCTAACAGATAAATCCTGAAAGGGCATACTGAAGGCAAAATTAATTTAACTGAAATAGCAAATAACAGCAGTAAGACCTTTAAGTCCAGCCTGCGTCGGGAGGAGTGCGCAGTTGTGTAACTTCCTCGGTACAAGATTGCGCTTCTGTGGTAAAGCTTTTACGAGTGAAGCCACATATGTACGCACTGAAAACTCACACCAGCTGGGCAGGAACAGGAGTTTAATAGACAGTGGCCTTACAGCAAAAATAAGAACCAGCTTTATAGCAGGGGAGTGATATTTAAGAACAAATGCAAACAGCAAATGAAAAGCTTCTTATTTGCTAGTATTTCATACTATTGAGCAATTTCATAGTTATTAAGAAATACTGTTAAAGTAGAAAATTGGTCTGAAACGTCTCCTGTGAGGAGCACCATAAGCTGGCTGAGAATCGTGAATATTTGCAACAAACAGAAAAAAAGTTGCAAAAAAAAAAAAGACTTCCTGCTCCTGACATCTAAAGACCCAAGTCTGCGGGTGTCCATGGGGAAATCACTCCTGCTCCGTCAGCTGGCACCGTGACCCTGCAGGCGTGGGCTGCTGGCGGCTACCGGGGACCCCAGGGGAAAGTCCCTCGGGGGAGAAGTGGCTGAGGACACAGTCTAAAGGGAATGGTCCATGCAAGTAACCAAGCTAAAGCCTTTCTGTGCATGCATTATTTGAATGCCTCCTTTATTTATCCTTTTTTTTTTTACTCAGATAGCTAGATCTGAGTGCTGCTGAGTTAAGGGGTGCCAGTGCTGGGCAGTGCTGAGGGCTGAGCCCCCTTTTCAGCCTCAGCCTGACTTGGCAAAAGACCTGCCGGACCACATGCTCAGAAACAGAGCGCTGATGCTTAGCTCTAGAAATGCAGGTGGCTCACAGGCAACTGAGTCACCGTCTTTTCAGCTCCCTGCAGACATAGCTGCTCTCTGCTAGCAGGCAGGGAGTATCAGACAGATGCGTTCCCTGAAGATACGCAGTTTTTCCTGCCTAAAAGCGGAGGTGAAGCCTGCAGAGCTTGAGTGCCCTGAATGCAACAGGGTAGCACATTCCCCGTGCCCTCTCCAGAGCCAGGTGCTCTCGCCGCTGCTACTGAAGCCAGCATTGGGGATAAAAATCCCTATACATGCCCCTATTTAGTGCTCTAAATTCAAGTCTGATACATCCCAAGCTGCTGTCCGTAATCTTTTTTTCTGCCGACACCTTCTCAAAGCCAGGCAGAAAGAAGACCAGGCTCCTGCACTTCAGACTTAGAAATGCAACTGGCCTGTTCCCCCTCCCCACGCGGGGTAATGCCGGCATGCCACGCTTGTACGGCATGCGAGAAGACAAATACTCGACAAAATAAGCATCCCTGGGGCACTCTGCCTCTCTGCTCAGACACCAGCAGGGCAGGAAAACTAAACCATCAATGCGGAGCGGCATCTCCTCGCAAAGGTCGCGCTGGGAGGGAAAGCGGAGACACACAGTTCAAGGCTCCTGAGCAAACGCCTAGTGAACTAAAACACTATGCAAAAAATTGGCAAAAGCAGTATGCAAAAAACCTGTCCCAAACCGCGTTGTTTTTGGTCCCAGTGTCGCGGGCTGGGAATAGCTGTTTTGTGTCACCTGCCAGTGGCTGGAAGGGGACCGTGTCCCTGCAGGGCTGCAAGCGTGCTGGCACACCGGACTCAGGTCTGGCAGCCAATTCGCCCCAGAAAGGGTACAAGACTTTCTCATCTCTCTACCCAGGCCACGGGGGCTGCATCCCAGCACCAGCACGCACCCAGAAAATATGACCTCTGTTTTGTGGGACAGCACAAATGGGACAAGCTTGGGAGCTTTGGGTTATGGGTTTTTTTGTTTAAAAAGCATTTAAAAACCCAATGCTAATGTAAACACCTTGTCTTTCAAATGAAATATAAAGTAAAATATCTATGTTCTGGTAATATTTACATTATAAAATCCTTATTTTCAGGACTATGACATAGATCTCTTTTGGAAGCATGAGTTTATAACAATTGTACACAGCATGAACCAATTATGCAAAAACTGATTCTTAGGTTTTGCCCTATATTCCTATGTCAGAAAGGGGTAGGTTACACAGTTTATACATATTTCCATTTCAGG